CAGACATTCTCATCTTTCTCCCAAAGAGCAACTGGTGGGTTTGAACCACCAACCGTGAGATTAGCAACTCAATGCCTAGTCCACAGCACCACCAGGGTAGCTGAAACCATGCACATTTATTTCAGAGAGGAAACGGGAGAAGTCAGAGCAGGTAGTTCCAGAGGCTCACACACTGAAGCTGGAGTCATGCACCGAGAGGACGTGGGTACTGCTGTAGCTGTTGTTATGTGCTATCAAGTTAATTATGACTCAGAGTCACCCTATAGGATAGATTAGAGCCATCCCATAAGGTTTCCAAGGCTGTACTCTTTACAGGAGCTGTTTATCATGGCTCCCAAAGAACAATGAAGTGCTGGTACCATTGAAACAGTGCTAGAGAGGTAAGAGTCACAAGGATCCACTGGAATGCAAGCTTCTTAAAGCCAAGAAGTTGTTTGTTTAAAATTTGTATTGTCTACTACTTTATCCCCAAGGCTCAGGAAAGGCTGAGTACATGGTTGTTGTTGTTGGGTGCCGTCGAATGGATTCTACCTCATAATGATCCTATATGAAAACATAGACTTACTCCCATAGAATGTCCGAGACTGAAATCTTTATGGGAGGAGATTGTCTGGACTTTTCTCCCATGGAGTTTCTGGTGTGTTTGAACCACCAACCTTTCAAATAGCAGTTGAGCGGTTAACCATTAAACCACTAAGGCTCCTAGAAGTTCATATTTGTTGCTGTTGTTGTTAAATGCCGTCAAGTTGTTTTCGACTCATAGAAACCCTGTATAGGATTTCCAAGGAGTGGCTGGTGAGTTTGAACCACTGACCTTGTGGTTCAAAGCGACATTGAGATCTAGTGCTTTATCCCACAAAGCCACATGGTGTTATTATTGCTACGTGCCCTCGAGTTGGTTCCGACTCAAGCGACCCTGTATTGGGTTTCCAAGGAGCAGCTGGTGAGTTTGAACCACTGACTGAGGTTTAAACCAACCTTGCAGTCCAGAGCATTAACCCACAGCATACCTGTTGACTGAATAGAGGAATACGTGAATAAACGCCCCTACATACTGTGATACTCCAGATGTTTGGACTGGGACATTCTATCTATTGCAGTAATAGACAAAAATGGGAAGCAAAGGCTCTTGTCATTGAGAGGAGTCATGTTCCACAGACTGTTCCAGTTTAAAGCATTTGTTCAGTGGCACATGACTTTGCGATGTTCACTGCATGCCAATCACACACTTAAGTGGAGCCCTGAAATGCCACTTTCTAATATGGGCTGGACTTTCACATTCCAGTTGCTGACATGTCTTTTCAGAGTAAGGATGGCATGTCCCTTCCTTCTTACAAGTTTGTGTCTACAAGATAGATGTACCGTACGGATGGTTGCTGTTTCTCTCCAGATTTCTGTTGTGAGTTGGAAAACAAGTGTGGCAATACCCACTCACTTGGAATTTATGGCCCAGGCCTGGTGGAAGGTTGGGAGGTGGCATTCCAAAATAAGCACTGGATATCTGTTCATATTCTTTCTCATAGACATGATAACTCAATGCTTGAATACCTTCTGGAGAAAGCACCTACCTCAAATCCCCAAATGATCTCTCACTCTCATTAGCATCATTTGGTTTAGCCTGGTACATGGAACAACCCGATTTTGTTCATTAACAAATATGTTCAGTCAACCTATCTTAGCCAGAATTGGATTTTGGGGGAAGGTGGTAAGATTGGTGTCTTCAGATGCTGTTGCTGTGTTGTGTTGTTTGCTACTGTTGAATTGGCCCTGACTTTGGGGACCCCATACATAAGGGGATCACAAGTCTCCACTTACAGATGGTGACTCTGTTTGAAGGGCATTGGCTAGGAATTGAACGTCAGTATCTTGTATTGTTGTTGTTGTTAAGTGCCGTTGAGTCGGTTCCAACCCATAAAGACCATGTATAGCGTTTCTGAGGAGCAGCTGGTGAGCTTGAACTGCCAACCTTGAAGTTCAAACGGCTTTACAGTCTGGCACATTTACCCATAGCACCACACCAGGACTCCCCAGTATCTTGCATAGATGACCAGAATTCTACCACTCAGCCATCATGTCCCTCTGAAACTTGGATTTCTTGAAAATAAAGCTGTAAGAACACTGAATCTGGAAACACATTCAGAAACAAAAACTAAAAACCAACTCTCAGGAAAGTCACTGTGGTCAGCTGCCTGGTTAACATGCACCTAATATATTTGGCCATTGTGGAAACGGAACTTCATTTACTGTAACATGATGCAGCTATTTAGCAATTCCTCCTCCTTCTTCTAGTTCATTCTGCAAGGAGATAAATCTTGAAAGCAGACTTGGAGGACTCAGCAGGAGGCTTTCTAAAGTCATTTGGGTTGTAGCTTCCATAGCACCCCTCTGCGTTTTCTCAGCAATCAGAACCGACGCAAGAATGCTTGAAGCATTTAGCTCCAGACCAGGAGCACCTATGGTGTTCACAAAAAATCTCTATTGCCCCACTAACTGTCCTGAGTATTACTAGGAGTGCAGGTTGTTGTTGTTGTTGTTGTTAGGTGCCTTCAAGTCGGTACTGACCCATAGAGACCTTATGCACAGCAGAATGAAACACTGCCTGATTCTGGGCCAACCTCACTATTGTTGCCACGTAGAGAGAGGTAGAGAGAGGTTGCCACGTAGAGCAAGGTTGCCATGTAGTGCAGCTAGAGAGAGCTTATCATAAAGGTACTAAGAGTACTCTTACAACTCTTACAACTCTTACAAATTCCAGATAGTAGACAAGGACTGAACTGTCAGTTTCAAAGCCAGGAAACAAAGGCACCAGGAATTAAATAATTTCCCTCAGGCAACTTGTCTGTTTCAGTGACAGAAGTTCAGTTTCTCCTACAAAAATGAAACTACAGCTCTGCCTTAACCTCTAGTCCTCCTTTTCCCTTGAGGTTTGAGCCTTGTGATTTTCTTCCTTGATCCAGGCAATCACAACTACTTTTACTTTGTTGTTGTTAAGTGCCAGTGTTGTCGGGTCGGTTCTGTATAGGGTTTCTGTGGAGCAGCTGCTGAGTTTGAACTGCTGACCTTGTGGTTCACAGTCCAGTGCTGATCCTACAGTGATCCTACAGGAATCTTTTAGACTTTAGTCTGCTATTATTATGCTTTTGCATTTAAGGAGCCCTGGTAGCGTAGTAGTTACTAATCGGGCTGTGAACCGCAAGGTCAGCAGTTTGAAACTACTAGCTGTTCCATGAGAGAAAGATGAGGTGTTCTGCTCTCGTAAAGATTTACAGCCTCAGAAACTCTACACAGGGTCGCTATGAGTCAGAACCGACTCCACGGCACACAGCCACCACCTTTTACTTTTAACATGCTTTCCCTAAATATACCAATCATTCTGCCTCACTGCAATCCCACAGGACTGCAATCCCACAGTAGAACTGCTTCATAGAATTTCTGGAGCTGACTCCTGTATCTACAACTGGTGGTGGGTATGCACTGGCAATATTTTGGTTAGCAGTCAGCCTAGCCAGGTCTCCTAACATGTCTTCAGAAACACCATACTTCATTGACCCTAACATACTATCAGTTATAAAGTAAGCCATTATTTTATGTACTACTGAAAAAGAAGAAATGGTACCAATTAAATTTAAACATCATGTCCTCAGAGATGTTAAAATATGAAGGGAAGGGGAAAAATTTTTAAAAGAATATGTCTCAGGATCCAGGAACTGCAGTATATTATTTGCCTGCTCAAATTCAGAATCCCCTCTGTTCTTCACCAGTGATTTTGGGAAGTGCTTCTTCCTGTTGGCCAACCCTGTGGTCCTATTGGGAACTGCCAATCCTTGTCTTCTAGTTAGTTAGCTAGAGAGTGTAAGCAGGAAATCCTAGCTGGGCACAGCAGGGGACTGACCTGGGGTTTTAAACTGGAGTAATAGAACAGTGCTTCCTCTTCCATGACAAAGATGTGGACCGTGGACCATGGACCTTGGGTATGGTTCTAGCCTGGTGGGGAAGCCTAGTTTGAGACAATGAAGCTGCTTCCAGAAAGAGATGTTGAGAGAGATAGACAAGAATCTCAACAGGGCTGAATAATTTGAATGCATTTGTTCCTGAGACCAGACACAGCAGCTTGGCGCAAACCATTAATGGGTTCCGATGATAGCAAAAAGTTGTTGATTGGAGTCCATTAAGAGGTGCTTTAGAAGGAAGGTCTGACAATTTACTTCAGGAAATTCAGTTACTGAAAACCCTATAGAGTGCAGCTTCCACAGCGTTGTCTGAGTCAGAATCGACTTGGTGGCACCTGGTCGCTAAACCTTGGGTAGGTTTTGTCCTATGCCAAAAGAATCCTCTTGCTCACAGACACCAATACAACAAGAAAACCAGAAGTATCCTCCCTGTCTCCTCCAGGCCCCCATGATGAGGAGACTAAGGACAGTAATGGCAAACACTCTGTTCTTCCTTTGAGAAATAAGCCACCATCTTCCACTACCAAGGACTGTGAGCATTATGTTTCTGCCTATTTCTTCTCTGAGGACATAAAGTTGTTTCTGTTTTTTAACAGTGAATTTAGGTTTTTTAAAAGACAAGAAAATAACAAGCTATCTCTGGTAGGGTAGCAAGGTAAAGGAAAAGAATACGCATTCACCATGACAAAAGAGAACAACCAAAAAGAAACAGTCAGAAACAATCTGACTTTCTCTCCTAAATTCCTTCTGCTAACCATGTACTCTTGATCCTTTTTCATAGCCTCGTTGGGAGAAGGTGTGGGTCGGGGTGGAAAATTAAGGAAGAAGTTTTTGAGAATTTCAGAAATAAAATTGTAGGCAAAGAAAGCTTAATATAACCTGAAGTTGCTCTCAGACCATGATACTACCAGAATTCTGAGGCTTGTTAATGAATATTTTCTAAAAAACTTTACTATATAAAACTTTCAAAGCCATCAGGGAATAATACTAATCCACTCACCCTGTTTTAACTCTTCAACTGTTCCCAAAGCCTCTGGTTTTCTATTGCAGAGCAAGGTAAGTGGAAAATTGCTTTTGAGGTTTCTTTTGTGCAATAATAATCTTGGGCAGCCCCCACCTTGATGTGTCCTCATGTGCACCTTGTAAATTGATTCCAAACTGCTCCTGTATTCAAACACCTGATCCCCTTGGAAACCAGAAAGAAAATGAATAGTGGTAAAAGCCCATTTTAACTAGTACCAAGATCAAAACCTTCATTACACAAATATGTTTGTCCCACATCATCTTTTAAGTCAGAAATATTCATTAGGATTAGGTATCAATTGCACACCTACAATATTTTTCATCTTAATGGCGGCCTAGTTGTTGAGTTGTCTAACCCTTAATGATAAAAAGAAAACAGGACACACGCAATAATAACACACATTTCTTCCTGCTGCCCCAAATAATGTTATTACCTTTTCTTCTACGTTTATTTTAGTTTTTATAGTAACACTTCCTTTATAGTGTTTTCAGAAGACTTATTAAGTTTTTAGATGAAGAAATGGTGAATGGGAGTGATATTATTACCTTATGGATCTTTGATCAGTGCTTTCCCCCAAAGAATGCCTTTTGTGGGGAAATACTGAATGAAAGAAAACCATAGCCTACTATGGAACTATCATTGAAACATTGTGCTTCCATTGAGCCTGTTATGAAATGTACCAGCTGCCTCTTTTCTTTCCAGATTAGGGGGGAAAATGAAACAAAATCACTACATATTGCAAACATCACCAGCTTTTGAAGATATCTGAAAGATAATTGCTATTAATCTGCTTCGTTAGTGAAAACAGTCCTTCTATCAGAATAAGAGCAAGGATTGCTCAACTCACCTTTGGTGTGGGTCTGAGATCCCTGCAATATAACTGCTCATGTTGAGTTATTGAAGCCTGCCATGGGCTATCTCTATCTATCCTAATTTCTTAGCTAATTCCCATATTCTATTCCTGTTCCATGTCTTGGCAAGGAACTTGGGAATGAACTCCTAGTGTTAACAGATTCAGCAGCTGGGGTACACCAAGGTGTACCTTGAGTATCATAGTAGTCCAAAGCATCCCTTTTGGTGTAGGTCAGAGGCTTGACCTGCCTCCGTTTCTGTGCTTGGGATTCCTAATCACTTGATCATGCCTGTGACCAGTCCCCACACAACAGTGAACTCTTAAATATCTCATTTGTTTTCCTATCTTCTTTTTCCAGTGTCAAACATGAATTTAAACTTCAGAAAACTGTTCATTTTCATGTCATATTTCATGTGGTTTGGGTGGGTATGACACCGTCTCAGCTCCAGCTGTGTTGTTGTTGTAACTGCTGTCAGGTCGTTTCTGACTCATTGTTGTTGTTGTCAGGTGCCATCGAGTCGGAACCGACTCATAGCGACCCCATGCACAACAGAACGAAACAATGTCCGATCCTGGGCCAACCTCACTACCGCTGCCACGTTTGAGTCCATCAGTGATGCCACCTGGCCAATCCATCTCCTTAGGGGTCTTCCTCTTTTTCTCTGACTCATAGAAACCCTGTATATGGTTTCCAAGGAGCAACTGGTGGGTTTGAACCACCGACCTTGTGGCTCAAACTGGCCTTGCAATCCAGCGCATTATCCTGTATTACCACACCAGGACTCAACTCCAGCTGTAGGAGTTACCAAATGGCCTAAACCTAGCCAATCAGTGTATTTAACCTTTTGGTCACAGTGACTGATTCAGAGATAAGCATTTGAAACAAATTAAGCCAAAGAGAATCAATTCTGGGACTGTAGTGAAAACTACTGTGGAAGAGAAGCTTATAACTCTAGACCAAGGGGTATCAACTGTGGCACTATTGACATCTAGTTGTCCTCATGCAGAATATGTACATAGAGACAGGTCCCGGTTGCCTAGAACCTGAGCAGTACAACGGGAACCATGACGACAGCAAAATGGCTGGATCTTGGATCTTCACGAGGCTGGGGGCAAAGATTTCGCCTTGGATGAGGATGCGGATGAGAGCATGCACAAATTGAAAGAAAAAACAAAGAAACGGAAGGGTCGCGGCTTTGGCTCGGAAGAGGGGTCCCAGGCACGGATGTGTAAAGATTATGACAGCGTGGAGCAGGATGGCGATGAACCGGGACCCCAACGCTCTGTTGAAGGCTGGGTTCTCTTTGTCACTAGAGTTCATGAGGAAGCCACTGAGGAAGACATCCATGACAAATTTGCAGAGTATGGAGAAATAAATAATATCCGCCTCAACCTGGACAGACGGACAGGATACCTGAAGGGATATACTCTAGTTGAGTATGAAACATACAAGGAGGCCCAGGCTGCCATGGAGGGCCTCAATGGCCAGGATTTGATGGGACAGCCCATCAGTGTTGACTGGTGTTTTGTTCGGGGTCCACCCAAGAGTAAGAGGAGAGGTAGCCGCAGACGCAGTAGGACACCAGATCGGAGGCGGCGCTGACACGTGCTCTGTTGTCCTGGCCTTTCCTGCAGAGATTCTATTTGACCGTGCTGCTATGGAGAAACTGACCTTGGTTAGAACTAACTGTGTATATATTTAGTCTTTTACCTGCCATGTATTTGAGTTGTGAATAAATGTCCCATTTTTGTTTTCTACAAAAAAAAAAAAAAAAAGAATATATGCATAGACCAAGAGAAAGTGTTCAAACAGAACAAGGGGATATTCAATGGTTTAAAATTAACAAAGGTATGTAGCAATTTTGTATCCTTCCATCATATTTATTCAATCTGTATGCTAAGCAAATAACCCAAGAAACTGGATTATATGCCGAAGAGTGTGGTTTCAGAATTGAAGAAAGACTCATTAACAATCTGTAATATGCAGATGATACAATCTTGCTTGCTGAAAGCTAACAAGCTTTAAAATACTTACTGATGAAGATCAAAGACTACAGCCTTCGTGTAAAGAAAACAAAAATCTTCACCACTGCACCAATAAACAACATCATGATAAATGGAAAAAGCATTGACGTTATCAATGACTTCATTCTGCTTGGATCCACAAATGACACTCATGGTAGCAGCAGTCTAGAAGTTAAGTGATACATTGCATTAGGAAATCATTTACATAAAACCTCTTTAAAATGTTCAAGAGCAAAGATATCAGTTTGAAGATTAAAACATGCCTGATCTAAGCCCTGGCATTTTTAATAGCCTCACATGCATGTGAAAGATGGATAATGAATAAGGCAAACCAAAGAATTAATACATTTGAATTATGGTGTTTGAGAAGACTATTAAAAGTACCACGGCGTGCTAAGAGAACAAACAAATCTGTGTTGGAAGAAGTATGGCCAAAATGATGATAGAAGCCATGATGATGAGCTTTGTTGCTCACACTATTTTAGGAAGAACTTCATGCTTGGTAAAGTGGAGGGTCAGAGAAAAAGAGGATGGCCCCGGGGAGATGGAATGACAAAATGACAGTAGCAACAGGTTCCAGTGAAACAATTGTGAGGATGGTGTAGGACTAGACAGTGTTTCACTCTGTTGTACATAAAACTCCTATGAGTCGGAACCAATTCAATGGCACCTTACCACATCAGCAACATTTCTTTGTTCTGGGGAGCTGTTTCTCCAACTAGATGCCAGTAACACTACTCACTCCTTCAAGTTGTGAAAACCAAAAATGTCTCCTGACATTTGCAAATGTCACTGGGGGTAAGGTGACCATGGTGTCTACTACACTGGAATGAAGACTATGTGACTGAGACTTTAACTCCAGGAGGACTCCATCAAAAGGAAATTTCCTGATGCCAAAATATAGGAAGTAGAACCAAGAGAAGAGGCAAACTAAGTCCCAGTGACATTCCTTACGTTACTGGCGCTGGAGCTCAAACAGTTGACTGCTAAATGAAAGATTGGTGGTTCAAATCCACCAGTCACTCCTTGGAAACCATCTACAGAGTCACGATGAGTCAGCACTGACTCAATGGAACTTAATAACAACATGAAAGAAAAAGAGAAAATCAATTGGATATCATCATATTAAAAGTATATATTGATCAAAAACTGTTGAAATAAGTAAAAACAACAAGACAGGTTGGAAGAAAATACTTGAAAAAAATGTATCTGATAAATGGCTCGCATTCAGAATGAACACAGAATTATTTCAACTCAATAATCAAAAGACAAGCAGCTCAATAAAAAAGCGGTAAAATTTTGAGAAGACATTTCATCAAAGATATTTAGATAGCAGACACATGAAAAGAATATCAATCAACATTAGGAAAATTTAACTTTAAATTAACAAAATACTTTTATAAACACACTCCTTGTTGTTGTTGTTAGGTGCCATTGAGTCGGTACCGATCCATAGTGACCTTATGCACAGCAGAACAAAACACTGCCTGATCCTGGGCCAACCTCACTACTGTTGCAACGCTTGAGTCCATCAATGCTGCCACTTGGCCAATCCATCTCTTTGGGGGGATCTTCCTTTTTTTCTCTGATCCTCCACCTTATCAAACATGATATCCTTCTCCAGTGACTGGTCCCTCCTGACAATCTGTCTAAAGTATGAGAGACGAAGTTTGGCCATCTTGGTCTCCAAGAAGCACTCTGGCTGCACTTCTTCCAAAACAGATCTATTGGTTCTTTTGGCAGCCCATGGCTCTTTCAATATTCTCCTCCAACACCATAACTCAAAGGCATCAATTCTTCTATGATCTTCCTTATTCATTGTCCAGATTTCGCATGCATGTGAGGTTATTGAAAATACCATGGCTTGGGTCAGGCGCACCTTAATCCTCAAGCTGATATCTTTGTTCTTCAACACTTTCAAAAGGTCTTGTGCAGCAGATTTGCCTAATGCAATACATTGTCTGATCTCTTAGACTGCTGCTTCCGTGAGTGCTAATAGTTGATTCAAGAAGAATGAAATCCTTGACAACTTCAATCTGTTCTCCATTGATCAGAATGTTGTTTATTGGCCCAGTAGTGAGGATTTTTGTTTTCTTGACATTGAGATGTAATCCATACCGAAAGTTGTGCTCTTTGATCTTCATCAGTAAGTGTTTTAAGTCCTCTTCACTTTCAGCAACCAAGGTTGTATCATCTGCATATCGCAGGTTGTTAATGAGTCTTCCTCCAATCCTAATGCCACGTGTTTCTTCATAGAATCCAGCTTCTGGTATTATTTGCTCAGCATACAGGTTGAATAAGTATGGTAAAAGAATACGACCTTGTCACACAGCTTTCTTAATTTTAAACTATTCAGTGTTCCCATGTTCTGTTTGAACAACTGCCTTTTGGTCCAGGTACAGATTCCTCATGAGCACAATTAAGTGTTCTGGAAAACTCATACTTCGCAATGTTGTCCATAGCTTGTCATGATCCACACAATCAAAAGCCTTTGCATAGTCAATAAAGCACAGGTAAACATCTTTCTGATATTCTCTGCTTTCAGCCAAGATCCATAGGACATCAGCAATGATATCCCTTGTTTCACAGGCTCTTCTGAATCCGACTTGAACCTCTGGAAGTTCTCTGTCAGTGTATGCTTGTAGCCGTTTCTGTATTACCTTTAGTAAAACTTTACCTGCATGGGATATCAAAGAGATTGTTGATTTCTGCATTCTGTTGGGTCACCTTTCTTTGGAATGACAAATATGGATCTCTTCCAATCAGTTGGCCAGATAGTTGTCTTCCAAATTTCTTGGCAGAGATGAGTGAGTGCCTCCTGGGCCGCCTCACTTTCTTGAAAGATTTCAATTTTTATTCCATCAATTCCTGGTGCCTTGTTCTTTGCCAATTCCTTCAGTGAGCCTTGGACTTCCTCCCTGAGTATCACTGGCTCTTGATCATATGCTACCTCTTGGAATGGTTGAACATTAACCATATCCTTTTGGTGCAGTGATTCTGTATAGTCCTTCCATCTTCTTTTGATGCCTTATGCATCGTTCAACAATTTGCCCAGAGAATCTTTTGATAACGAAAGTCAAGGCTTGAATTTTTTCTTCAGTTCCCCCAGCTTGAGAAATGCTGAGCGTGTTCTTCCTTTTTGATTGTTTCTGATTCCAGATCTTTGCACATTTTGTTGTAACAAAACAACAAAACATGGTAATTGAAATACCACACACTGTTAGAATGACTAAAATTAAATAGCCTGAAAATTCCAAGTGTGGAAAAGAACGTAAACAATTGTAACTTTCATACATTTTCTCAGAATGCAAAATAGTACTACAACTTTTTAAAAAGAGATTGGCAATTTCTTTAAAAGTGAAACATATTCTTACTATTTTTTGTTGTTAAGTTCCATTGAGTCGGTTTTGACCCATAGAGATCCTGTATATGGTTTCCTAGGAGAAGCTGGTGAGTTTGAACTGCCAACCTTGGTATTCAAACTGACTTGCAGTCCAGTTCATTATCCAGCACCCAGGATTCCATTCTTACTATGTTGTTGTGTTTAGTGTCATTAAGTCAGTTCCAGCTCATGTTGTTGTAAATTGCCGTCTAGTCAGTTCTGACCCATAGGGACCCTGTAGAGGGTTTCCAAGGAGCGACAGTTCAAACCAACTTTTCCGTCTAGTGCATTAACCCACAGTGCCACACAAGGACTCCGACTCATAGCGACCCAATGTAGGGCTTCCAAGGAGTAGCTGGTGAGTTTGAACCACCAACCTTGCAGTTCAAACAATCTTACATTCCAGTGTTTATCATACAGTGCCACACCAGGACTCCACTTTTTCTTACTATGTTCCTGTTCTTGTCCTTATGTGTCATCGAGTTGGTTCCAACCCATAGCAACCCTGTATAGGGTTTCTCAGGAGCAGCTGGTGAACTTGAACCACCAACCTTGCAATTCAAACAGACTTTGCAGTTCAGTGTATTAACCTATAGCATCACATCAGAACTCCATCCAACCCTAGGTATTGACCCAAGAGAAAGGAAAAATCTATGTCAAAACAAAGTTTTATATGTGCATGTTCTTATCAACTTTATTAATAACATCTCAAAACAATCCAAATGGCCAGCAACACATGACTGTATAAACAAACCATTGTATATAAATACAATGAACTACTACTCATTTATAAAAAGAAATAAACTCTTGATGAATGGTCTAATATTACACTATGCTACAAAGAAGCCAGGCACAAAAGATTACACCTTGTATGATTCTATTTATAGAATAATCTAGAACCGGCAATATGCTAGTAATGGAAAGCAGATCAGTGGTTACCGATGGGTCTGGAAGTTGTGAAGGAAATTAACTGCAGGAAAGGCCAGGATGTAGAATTTTAAAGTAATCTTCTATATCATTATTTTGGTGGTGTTTACATGACTATCACATTTGTCAGAACTCTTTGAACTACATCTTAAAATAGATGCTTTTTATTATATGTAAATCATTTCAATAAAGCTGCCTCCAAAAGCAAGAATAGTGACATGAATAGGCTTCTTCATCTGTATTGTATGAGAACAAAAATGATATAAAAT